ATTGCATGTAATATTCTAATTTACTGAGATTGTGGATTTGTGGTTTTCATGAGCTGTAAGGCATAATCATCATCACACTTATGACAAATTACGGCTTGAACTATCTTGCTTTGCATGCAATGCGTCTCTCTCATATATTAGTTTCCCCTTTTAAGTTGCATTACTGAAATAAATGAACCTTTGCACAATATTCTAATTTTTCGAGTATCACCTGTAGGTTTTCTTCTTTCTATTATGCTTGCCTATAATCCCGTTTATAGGTTCTGCTTTCTCCCTCTGTCTTTATTGTTCCTTTTCCCTTTTATATCCTGTTACTCTTATTGTTTCCTTGTCTAAACATGCCTAAAGGTCAAAATAAAGAACCTCAAGTGAACCACAGCATAAATCTCCTCTTTGACCTGCTCAGAAACATGACAACCTCCTTCCTAATGCTTAGTTTTTCAGTTTTTGACAACAAACTATTTTAGACCAGAATAGCCCAACTAAAAGCATAATCAATTCTAACTTAAGTATAACTCCTCAAGTGTTTTGGAGACACCACTGGAAATTGACGATGCCAGTGAATCTCTATTCCAATTCACTTTTTTAATCCAAGCAAAAACCTGCTTTTAATTGACACTCCTGTATCCGTCCGTCCACAGTTTCGGAGCTCTGTCTTTAAACATCCTCAGATAACTTTGCCAATGTTTCTGATGCTAGATACTGTAGCCTTGCCTGGCCTTTTTTATATTGTGATGATGCCATGGCATTGCCACGCACACTTTCATTTTGGGGGAGAGACTGGAGCTTCAAAAACAGTTTTTAATGTTATGAATTATTGATAGTGATATGCTTTAGATTTGTTTTAGTCCCTTTAGGGATTGGCCCATGCTAGAACTTTGCTTGTGAGTAGTGCAATAACAATCCCAGGAGAAAAAAAAAAAAAAAAAAAAAAAAAAAAAAAGGAAAAAAAAAGGAAAAAAAAAAAAAAGAATTTTTTTTATATTAGGATAATAAATAATGATTGACACAAATGTAGCACATTGATGAATTTATTGGAATTTATTACAAATTTAATGATGAATATAAATCACATTTTCATAAAAATATGGGATGAACTAATTGATATTATTAAATCACATTCATGTGGTATATTAGAGTGGATTATGTATAGTTATTGAATTCATATGGTGAATAGCATAGTATTTCTTGTATGAATTATAAGATTAATACACTAATAGTGACTTTTGTTTGGTAGAGTGGAAGTATTTACATGTATTTTATGGCCAGATATTGCAGATTATAAATGGAACGCAAAACAACGAGGTTGGAACGCACATTACTTCCGGTTCCGTCAACGTGGTTGGAACGCATGCCACTTCCGGTTTAGTCAACGTAGTTGGAACGCATGGCACTTCCGTGCCGGTAGTTGTCGGAGGACTATTGAACAATTACGAAATCAGCTGTGAACACTTGGAGCCGCGATCGGCAACAGATGAACCCTATTAATGGAGGACCAATGAGGAGAGTCTGAGGATAACATGTGACTGAATTAAGATGAGGGATTAGCCCTATTTAAAGGACTTTTCGGGTGGGGATTTGTTAGGCTGTTCTTTGATTGTATTGTATCAAATTGTTTCTTAATATTGTGGTCCCTGAGGAAGTCCCTATTTTGTTAAAGGGACGAAACGCGTAGGACCTTATTTATATTTATTTTATTCTTTTTTAAACATATTTTAATATTGAATTAAAGCCAATTTTTCAAACTTCACCCAGAGTCCTGTGTTGGAGTGAAAACATCCAGGGGATCTCCCTAGCCCCCCCCACTATCGGGGAAGGCACCTTACAAGCTTCAATTTGTCCAAAATCCAGTGAGTGCATTTCAATTTGCGCAATGTCTATACTGTAAACTGTATTACACTATATTCTCTCTATTTACTTTTGTAGAGATTATCAGCCGGTTCCCTCGTTGTTTTTTCTACATTTTGCTGTCAAGTTGATCGCTAGCTGGGAAGCGATCTGAGGGAGGCTGTATTCATCTTCATTTGATAAGTATCTTTTGCATATATATTAAGGTGTATAAGGTACATTATTGTTGGTTGTTTTTTCAATAACAATCCCAGCATTGTCTTTTTCTGTAGGGAAAATGATTTAAATTAGACAACTCTTGCATGACTAGGTTAAGACTAGAGTTGAGCGGACACCTGGATGTACGGGTCGGGCGGGTTCGGATGAACGTTGAAAAAAAGTTCAAACTTGACCCCGAACTTGAGCCCGAACCCCATTGAAGTCAGTGGGAACCCGAACTTTTGGCCACAAAAATGCCTCTTAAAAAGTACTGGAAAGGACTAGGGGCTGCAAAAGGAAGTAAAATGGGGTAAGAGTAGGACAAGTGCCCTGCAAACAAATGTGGATAGGGAAATCACTTAAAATAACATAAAAGTTAAAAATACAGCTGAGCCATAAAATAGCACTAGATGGAATCTTTGATTTTAGCTTTGGAAGAACATAAATCAAAATCTAAAGCATGGCTGTCAGGAGGATCACCAGAATTATCCATTTGAGAGAGGGTTGGACTGCAAGGTATTCTCTTTCATTGTTCAAACTGAGCTCAACTCCTGATGCATTGAGAAAAGGGCCTTCACAAGCCTCTGCTATTGTGTACATAGTTTATACTAAGTGACCCATAGGTTGAGGAAGCAGTGACCATGGCAGTGTAGGTGGAACCGGCGGTGGAGGAGGAGGAGGTAGCCAACACTGATATATATATATATATATATATATATATATATATATATATATATATGTATTAAGGCCTTTTGGCCTGTAATTGTGGGAGGGGCGTATGACTCACCTTCTCCCTACTTAAGGGACACCCCTTACCTGGCTCCATACCGTTCGAGGTCAGCGCTGCATCGAGAATCCACTTCCGGTTCACGTACGGCGCCATCTTGCTTTTCAAAAACCCGCGGTTTTCGTTTGGTGTAGCTGTGTCCAGGAATCCTTACAGGTTTTCCGCCCGTTCAGCCACGCACATACCCGGTGTTTTCGTTGCAGATTAAGTCCACAGGACTTCAAAATCGTAAGTCCGTCGCCCGGATCATTTCCCACGGCGTCGCGATTTAAAACGGCCTTACTTTACGGCCACACGCTTTACGGCCAAGTCACAGGCATATTAACCCCTTTGCTGCCGGCAGGCATATCGGTTTCGGTTTTTCTTTGTATTAAGCAAATTCGTTCTGCATATCATCAGCTATAATTGGTTTCATGTCATTTACTGTTATTTAGCTTATGCAAATTACGAAATCCTTGCATATGACTGGGGCAATACCCCTGTTAACTACTTATGAATAAGTATTTATTTAGGTTATGGTTTAATCTTAGCAGATATGGCATTATTAAAGTTTTATTGAAATTCTTCATGTTATATACATATATTTATGGAGTTAAGCTTAGACAAGCCTTTACATTTTACAGATGTCGCTTGTAGGATTTACGTTATAAATTATGTTTAGAAATTACGTTTCTATCATACCATGTACTCACGTTTCTTACATGGCACTTATATATTCTGACTTTTTCTTTGTGTACTCAAACGACATACCAAGTACACAAGAACACGGTCTCACAAATCTCACAAACTCTCGGGTTGAATCACACGTCTTGATTCAACCACTCATACGTCACGTTATTTCCAATTTTGGGATAACTTCTCAAATATTTCTGTACCTCGTACTTACCTCTTTTCATGGCTTACGTTTACGGCCTAACATATACGGTATTGTTTTAAATCCTGCACCTTATTATACCACAAACACCAGCATTACTATATCATACGCATTAATCTGGTCACCAGAGACATATCATACACACCCCCAAGCATGATTACCATACCACATACAGGGCCAGTCGGGCCAATATCATTCATGTATTCCCTTTCCATATATACTACTAGAACTCATCACATATAACTAGTCTAAATTGGTATCATAGGATCCAATTCTCACACTATCATATTTGGTTTTTCTATCCCTTTAGGATTTTTCCAGTTTTCTCTACCTATCGCTTATCAAGCGCATACATACTACCAGGTACGTTAAGCCTGCTCACGCCATACATCACATATGGTTCCTCCTCTACTTAGGACATAGAGTACTGGCAATTTTAGGGGTTATAGGCCCAAATAGGTATCCCCCTCCGGGCATTCTGGCATTCTGCCTATCGTTTAGTGGTCCGCGAGGCCAACACCCCGCCTCAACGTTTCGGAGGTAATGCCCCCCGGGCCACACGTGAGTTAGCCGCCTCGCATTATAGAGAGGGTGCCACCTGTCACTCCCTTCCCCTGTTTTCTTGTATTGTCACCGAGAGGCCTACGATTTCCTGCCACTACGTCGGGTGGCCTCAATAACCCCTCGCGCCAACGCATAGATAGAGCCTCTCATAGCCACTTGGCAACTAGCAGGGCCTCACCTGTCACCAAAGAACAAGTTTTAATTTTTCGCCTATCCGGCATAATTAGCCTGCCAGTACATCCCCTCGGGGGGTTTTATGCTAACCATATACTTTTGTAATCTAGTATGTCTCAAGAAGGGGTAGAGGATTTCTCCATCCCAAGGACTCCGGCTAGAACCAACACTCCATCACAGGAGGAAGATACGGCTAGTCCAGCATCTTTCAGATCATGGACTATCCCTCGTATCACTAACGAACTCAGGAGACGACAAATCCCTTTTCCAGCAACAGCAAGGAAAGCGGAACTTTACAAATTATTACACACCTCAACTGATAACATGGACGCTGGGGAAGGGTCGAGCCAGTCCCACCCAGGGAACATACATGACATGCTCACGTCCCTCATGACATCCATGAGCAAGGTCAATTCTAGGCTGGAGAAACTTGAATCGGTCACTACAGCCCTCACTATGGCTGGACCGGCCACGGAAATTCCCCCATCAGTGGTGGAGTCGCAATCAGTTTCTACAGCTATCACCTCGGATGACCAAGAAGTTTACCCTGCCCACATGATTCCTGAGCACCTCAGGAGAGATATCCTGGAAGGTAAAGATGTCAATCTGGCCTCACTACTAATTGCCTCCCAGGATATAGTGGAACACAAGACCTACGCTTATGACGATATTTCTGTGGTGGTCAAATCTAGGGATGCACGATTAAATAGGAAGCTAACCATTCCTGAATTTGTATTAGCTTTTGGCATTTATCGGGATGTGATCTGTACGGTATATCCCCACAGACGTGAGGAGTTTGACTTATATATGCACAGGCTGGTTGATCTGGGCAACAAATATGGTGGGTCAGCTTTCTATGACTACCATAGATCTTTTTCTGCCAAAGTGTCTGGCGCCTTCTCACAGTACGGGACAAGGTCCAACTGGAGTAAGATTGATACGATCATTTTTGCAGGCACTTTGCAGGTCTAAGAGCACCGGCCTGTGCACACTGCTCCTCCATGGCTCATACTGCCAATTTTTGTCCGACCACTGCGAACGAACCTACCACCTCGCAGGGCACTAGCTCCACTGTGTCAGCAGAGAGAACACCTAAAGACAAACTGGGTCGACCTATCAAGTTTTTGGGGAAGTCCCAAATATGTAATAATTTCAATGTCGGTGCATGTAATTACAGCGGTTGTCGGTTATTGCATATATGTTCAAAATGTTTTAGGGCACCTGCGAAAACCATGTGTCCAAATAAAATGTACCCTAAGCAATACTTAACTGAGATAAATATTTCTGTACTCACGGCATTACTGTCACAACATCCATCTAGACATTTGGTAGACTTCATCATCACTGGTCTATCACAAGGATTCCATACTAGTCTCATACACATGCCTTCAGGAATCCTTGAATGTCCTAATTTACAATCTGCACAACAAAACCCTACAGCGGTTAGCACACTCATAGCCAAAGAAGTGGCAGAGGGCTTCCTATTGGGACCCTTTCAGTCCTCTCCTTTTTCCACATGGCGGACAAAACCCATCGGTATTGTCACAGGGAAATCTTCCCACAAACAAAGACTTATCATCGATCTGTCTGCACCTCACACCTCTGCCTCACCTAGTCTGAACTCCCTTATCCCCTCTGAGGAATTTTCACTTCAATACTCCACCATAGATCACGCCAATACAGTTATCATACAGGCAGGGGTCGGAGCATGGCTCAGCAAGACTGACATTACAAATGCCTTCAAATTATTGCCTATCCACCCTACACTATGGCACCTGCATGGCATTAAGTGGGCCGGGCACTACTACTTTTTCTCACGCCTAGCGTTTGGTTCAAAAAGTAGTCCGGCCATTTTTGACGTATTCGCCGGAACATTATGCTGGTTATTATTAAATGTAGCCAGATGCCCTACAGTTATACACTACCTGGATGATTTCTTACTGATCGAAGAGAACACTTCCCCTCCCAGTAGCCTCATAGCAACCATCAGTCTTTTTCAAACAGGTGGGTGTTCCAGTCTCCCCCACCAAAACTGAAGGACCAGATACAGTCATCACCTTTCTGGGAATCATGCTAGACTCAGCCACCATGCAAGCCAGCCTGCCACGCACCAAGATAGAGAACATTCTCACCAACATTAACCTCTACATACACCTCGGTAATTGCAATCGCAAAGAATTGCAGTCTCTACTTGGGTCACTGAACTTTGCCATGCGCATTATACCTCAAGGCCGGGCTTTCATCTCACGGCTCCTATACATGTTCCCACTAGTTAGACATGATGCACAGGTTACCACTGGATACCCAAGCCACGGCAGACCTACTTATGTGGAGAAACTTTTTGACCACCTGGAATGGGAAAAGCATGTTTCTCCCTAAATTGTCTGACTCCTCACCTACCATCTGGTCAGACGCGGCGTCTACCACAGGTTTTGCAGCAATTTACGGGAATGAATGGCTTTGGGGTAGCTGGCCTCCAGAGGTACAGGACCTGGAAGGTTTTTCCACTACCTCAGCTCTATTTGAGATGTATCCCATTGTAGCAGCTGCCGTGACATGGGGGCATCTATGGGCAGGTTCGTCAGTACGTTGCCACTCAGACAACCAAGCTACCTGCCACATCATAAACAAAGGCCGATCCAAGTCACTGACCATTATGAGGTTCTTGAGGAAGCTCACCTGGCTGGCTGCATGCCATAATTTCTTCTTGTTTTGTGTCCATGTCCCAGGTGTTTGTAACACGGCTGCTGACAATTTGTCTCGTTTCAATTTTCAGGCTTTTCGGCAAATACTTCCATCAGCCGCACGTACAGCCACGACCACTCCACCTTTCCACCAGCTAGTCATGGACTAGAAGCTATTATGCAACATAGCAGGACATTGGCACAATTAGCACTGTCCACCAATGCCCGGAGAACATATGACAGGGCTTTCCTTCTATTTAAAAGATTCCTGTCACTGCACAACGTCACACAACCTTTCATCATGACATCTTTGTTAGGTTTTGCTTCTTTTTGCCACCTCAAACTTAAATTATCTTACAACACAATCAAGCTATATCTAACAGGCATACAACATCACATGCTAACATTACAACCAAACAACACAAGTTTCATGTCCTCCTACCAGATAAAAACATCCTTAGAGGTATCCAGAGATCCGAACCCCCACGTACCGCGCAAAGGCTACCTATAGACTTCAATATCTTCAAGGATTTATCCAGCCTACTAGATTCAAAACCCTTTGCGAACAACACAAACCTTGTTATAAAAACCGCCATATACGTAGCTTTTTATGGTTTCTTGAGACCAAGAGAATTTACCGCCATCAACACATCCCAGTCCACTCACATTCTACTTCATTCACACTTAACGAAACACATGGATTACTATATTTTAACTCTGCATCACTCCAAAACCAATCAACACGCACCCCCGGTAGAGGTTAGATACTATCCTACCCACAACGTGTGGTGCCCCGTCACATTACTGGACACCTATACTCAGCATTTCAACGCATCACCATCTCAACCACTTTTCTGTCTACAAGGTTCGGTACTCACTACCACCACCTTCATGACCCACGTCAGGTCCCTACTTACACAACTAGGACTAAAATCAGCTAACTATTCGGGCCACTCCTTCCGCATAGGGGCGGCCTCCACAGCGTCCAGTGCAAACATTCCAGTACATGTTATCAAGTCACTAGGGCGCTGGAAGTCTTCTGCATACTCTGGATACATACCTAACCCGGTACAAGAAGTTAGAAATGCCTTTCAAGATATGTCTGGTTGAAGTATGTATATTGCTCGTTTCGTAATAAAGTATATTTTCTACTTTTGCCCTCTTTATTTACAGGCCTACCTCATCGTCGGTTCCGGCACACCACAACCGACTTGCTCTTTCACACTATCCCATACTTATCAGTGTTTGTATCTTCTGTACTATCATGAGCCCTTAACACAAGTATTAAGGCCTTTTGGCCTGTAATTGTGGGAGGGGCGTATGACTCACCTTCTCCCTACTTAAGGGACACCCCTTACCTGGCTCCATACCGTTCGAGGTCAGCGCTGCATCACCCTCCCACCCACTCCTTTTTATGAACTCCTTTTTCTCATACATTTCTTATTGGTGGGCCCTCTTTATTTACAGGCCTACCTCATCGTCGGTTCCGGCACACCACAACCGACTTGCTCTTTCCCACACTTATCAGTGTTTGTATCTTCTGTACTATCATGAGCCCTTAACACAAATATATATATATATATATATATATATATATATATATATATATATATATATATATATATATATATATATATATATATATATATATATATATATATATATATATATATATATACACACACACTATATTTGTACATATCCTTGCACATCTAATGTTGTGTATACCTGTAAGAGAAAAAAACGAAAAAAAAAACAGAAATAGTGCAGTACCCTTATTTAAATATAGCAGCTTGTTATCTGGTAGTTTCTAGTGTAGAAAATATCAATCTGTTTTCTATCACTTAGATCTGTGTAACAAGTGTTGTAGATGTGAAACAATATTACAAGTGACCGATGTAGTAAATTCGAATCAAAGTTCCATTTGCAAAAAAAATTCTCACCCATCTTCTGTGGGTTATTGCATTTTTAAGATGTAGACTTATTGTATCACACTAGCCATGCACAGGTAGATTGTCTGGCACATTGTTTTGGTGTTTGGTTTTTAACTTTGTAGTTGTGTCTTTACACAATATAGAAATGTATATTAATGCTTCTGTATATGAAGCGATCACAATAACACTTATTTTTCACTTTAAAAAAAAAAATCAGGCTAAACAAAAATTGGTAATTAACAATATGACATCTGAAAAGCACATGAAAGGATGCTGTATGATTAAAAAAACAAAACAAAACTACACTACATGAAGGTCCTGTTAACTAGAGTGTGTAGGCATGAATGTAATCATTAAAACTTTGTTTTTACAGCCACTGGTTGGCCCATACATATTTTAAAACTTGTTTAATTTTGTTATAGCATGACTTGTAGTCTTGTTTTTAACGTGTCTATAATGCATATTTTTGATTGACACTTAGTGTGTTTTTTCATTGATTATTGAATTTTAATGGTCTAAGATAATTTAACATGTCAACAGGCAAACGTAACCCAAATGATTTGTCTCAGTCTTGCCTTCTATACTACCTGCACCATAGGCAACATTTATTTGTCTTTAGACTTTCTTGAGAAGCGGTAACTAGCCAGTGTTGCACACATACACCAGATATGAAGTTCACACCCCAAATGTACTATTTAGCACCCAGAAAATTTGAATGCTTACAACTGCGCTGTAAGTGCATTATTTGACGCTTCTATTTGACTCTCAGATATGAAGAGCAGGTCCCAAAATGTACTATTTAGCAGATTAGCACCCAGAAAATAAGAATGTTTACAACTGCGCTGTAAGCGTACTATTGTGTGATGGAATTCCAGTAAAATAGAAGTTTAGTGGGCCAAGATTGCCACGTGGCATATGTAGGTACATGTGTTTGTAGTATCAGTTAGTTAGTTAGTTAGTTACACCTAGCTAAGATACTGTCATCAATGTACTGAGCATGTGCAGGAATGTAGGAACTGAAATCACACTCCTTTCTCCTTTGTTTCAGATGAGCCATGTGGTCAGACCGGATGAGCAAGTCCAGACTCTGTTTATTGATTGGTTAAGGGTATGTGTGGGTGTAGCTATTTATGGGAGGAGCTATATTGCTATATAAGGAATGTACTCCATGTGTTCTGGGCTCAGATCTGTTGTGGAACGTTAGTCCATCTGAGACCCGATCG